CCAAATAAAGTTTGACTTATTATCCAAGAATATTACCCTATTTTTTTAATTACTTTTAGACCCCATAAGGTATTAATTCCATCAAATACACCCGAAAAAAAGTTTAAAAATTATCAAAAACACCCCTGCAACCCATACTCGCCAGATTCCGGCAACCACCGTCGGTGGTAGCCGAAATCTATACAACGGCCAACCTGCCGACCATAAATGGCCGGAAGTTCACGGATCTGGCCTTTTCCGGCCAGATCCACCACGGATTTGGCCGGGAAAGGCCAGATCTGGCCGTGAACGACGGCCAAAGAAATGGCCGTCGTGAGGTCAACGACGGCCAAATCTTGGCCATCATTGACCGAAAACGACGGCCATATCTTTGGCCGTCGCTAACGGCCAAAGATGGAAGTCGTTTTGGCCTTTTTCGGCCGTCGACGGCCACGACAGGCCGTACATCTGGCCTTTTTCGGCCAGATCTGTGGTGGATCTGGCCGGAAAAGGCCATAACGACTCGTTACGACATAGATCCGACTGGTCTGTGCCGTAACGCGATTTTCCGGCCAGATTCCGGCGGTGGTGGCCAGAATCTGGCACTACAGGTGGTGGGGGTATTTTTGTCAATTTACATGTTGGGGGTATTTATGAAATTAGCAAACTTAGGGGCCGGGTTTTTCTATAAATTTTTAAATTTTACCTCGTAATACTCCCATATTCAATTATCCAATACTATCCCCAAAATCCTACCCAAAATAATAAACCAAACGCATACATGATTACCCTATATTATTCATAAAAGTACAAATACACCCCAGTAATTAACAAAAATTACAGTTTAGTCCTGGTTTCTACCTGGGTCTCGGTTTCAGTTTCAGTTCTTGGTTCTGGTTCCTGCAGTGGAGGAACCGAAACCGCATAGTATTGGTTTTGATTTTTTAGAACAAAAACTGACCTTGTGAGGCTTAGTTCTGGGTAAGAACCGAAACTAAATCCCGTGTACTCGCCAATTTTAGGTAGGAACTAGATTTGGAACGTTGGGAGCTTGCCAATTCTTTTGCACACCCCTATATAAGGGTATGTTCTTTAAAGGATTTAAATCCAGATTTTGTGAGAGTGAAATGCTTACTATCAAATAAAAAGTATGACTTTTTTTTTTTTTTTTTTTTTAAGACGTAATTTTAATTTCTTAAATATTCATTAACCTTTTACTTACAAAATGGAGGGACTTGGTTTCATAATCTTCACGATAGAAGGATGCTGATTTATAGAGCAAATAAGACTGAACACCATGATCTAGGGATTGACGACACCCTAATAAGATTATTATCAGTAAGGTGATATGACTTGACTCATAATAGAGGAATACCAAATTAAAGTAATATTGTTAATTCAAATATAATTTATGTTTCATTTTTAAGATATAATCTGAAATTGTACCATTATATAAGTGTTGTTATTAGCTCACATTGGATATCACTGTAGTATTACAAGTTTAAGGTTAGTAAAGAAACATTATTTTATATCCTACTTTTAAAAGACAATAACATTTGAGTAAAAGCGGAATAAGATGAAGACAATATACTCTTAAGTGTATTACTTAAGAGATCCTGAGTTTAAATTCTTCTTCAATTGTTAATAAGGGTAATCACTAGAACTCTTATGATGATTAGTTGTAAACTAGACCAAATACTCTCAATTACAACATGAAAAATAATCAAAAGCTTAAGATGATATATCGTATGCAAATTATAGAGTCCTCTCCTCGCTTCAGTTGAACCTTCTCTACAACCATCAAATTGGGCTATATGGGCTTGGCCCAACACATATGAACAAAGCCCAATTGAGAGCGATGGAACGTGCAGCCAGCCATGCATAGAATTGCGTAAAAGTGGTTTGAAATGAAAAGAAACGTAAGAGTATGATATGAGAAAGAGCAAAACTTGTGATAATAGATACCTTTATTCACAATTTAGGCTTCTCTTTCTAAAATTACTAATCCCAAAGCCAAAGGCACGCATGCCTTTCTTCCAAGCTTTGTTCATCCTCCTTCATCTAACTCCTATCACAACAAACACCTATACGACACCGCTTTGACGATATCATTAAATTAAAATTTGATTATGCATAATCTCTCTCTCTCTCTCTCTGTTTTCATATTAAATAGTGGCAAGTGGATGGTGTCATTTTGATTGGACATTACTCTATCAAACATATGACTACTACTTAGGGAATGAATATAAAAATCATGAGCCAGATCATTTTCATAATATTGTCAATTGTACTAAAAGCTGCTACAACACTTAAATCAATGGGTCAAATTCCAGCTCCAAACGTTTAGCATGTTACTCAATTGTTACTCCCTTTTAGCCCTGACAAACTTTATTCTATCATCATGCCTTCATTGCCTTTTATAATCTTTATATTTACACTTGTTTAAGCATATAATATTTTCTGAATTAATTTCAAATAAATAAATAAATTTGACGAAAAAAAATTTAACGAAATAGACAAACACACCGACAAATAATCTTCTGACACAGGCCTGTCTTCCGAGAGATCCAATGTATGTATATATATATATATATTACAAACTTTACCCTTCTCTCTCTCGCACGTGCCACCAACACTAACATCACCATCTCTACACGCGCAACTAAATTCGCACACGTGTCTTCCCGCCCCCTTCTTTCTTTCTCTGTTGTCGGATTCCCACCTGAAATCAATTCTTATACAAAAGGCCACCACCACAAACGCACACTCCGACACACACACTCTCTCAATAATAACTCATTCATTCGTCACATTTCTCATCCTAAACCTAAATTAGGTCTCGGAAGTTAATGTGATCGTCGCGCTCATAGATCCGTCGCGAGTTTCGACGAGAAGATTTGTTACAGAGGTTTCTAGAAGGGGAGAGGCTTTGCAATGGAGTCGATACTGGCACGCGCCTTGGAGTACACCCTCAAGTACTGGCTTAAATCCTTCTCCAGAGATCAGTTCAAGTTGCAAGGCCGTACTGTACAGTTATCAAATTTAGGTATGGTTTTGATTAATTGGCGTTAATTGATGGTTTTGGATGTGTTTCTTTAGCTCAGATGTTTGAATTTGATTGGATAGATATCAATGGAGACGCGTTGCATGCGAGTATGGGATTGCCACCGGCGTTAAATGTGGCCGTCGCCAAAGTCGGAAAACTAGAGATAATTGTGAGTATTTCTGATTTAAAATTTTGTTTTTTCGGTGTCGAATTGCAATTATTAGCGTTTGATTGATTTCTGAGGAAGATAAAGAAAGGAAATGGGAAGGTATAGAAAGGAAATGGGAAGGTATTTTGTTCACTAGGAGTTTCAATTAATTGTTCTTGTTTTTTTTTTTTTTTTTTTTTTTTAAATTTCTTCTAGAAGTCTGAAAAGTAAATACATTATAGGGCCATTAATTGTGTGTTACTAAATAGAGCTAATTAAATATGCTATGTGGGAAGAGAAATGATACTTTCTTGTTGTACACCGATTCATTTTACTGTCAGTATGGTGAGTGGTAAAATAAAGAAAAGTATTGAAGACAGTCGAAGTTTTTGCTTGCTTTGTGTTCAGTTCTTTGCTTAAATTATCTAAGTTGTGGGAGTTTATGTTAATTAGTAGGTTTGCTTTAGTAATTTTTTGATAAGATCTTGGAAACTAAAACATTAACACTGTATAATTTTCCTTGTACTTACGTCTGTTTTGAAAATTTTGTTTTTCCACAATGAAACTGGTTTTACCTTGGGGTTATTGCTGTCTTTTAGTGATTTGTATCTAATTTAGCTCATTTATTTATTTTTGAATAGCTTCCTTCATCGGTAAGTAATGTCCAAATAGAGCCTATTGTTGTGCAAGTTGATAAACTCGATTTGGTTTTGGAGGAGAACCCAGATGCGGATGCAGGTAAGAGTGCCGGCAGGTAATATAACTTTATATTGCTCGAGGTTATCTTGTAAATTTGGTATTAATTTTGTGAAGGGAATAAAATGTTTCTTATATAGTCACTTAACTTGCTGGTTTCTGCTTGTTATATTTGCAGTACCCAGCCATCGACTAGCTCTAGCAAGGGTAGTGGGTACGGATTTGCTGATAAGGTTAGCTGCCATTTTGTGTTTATTTGTAGTGCCTTCTTTAAAGCTGTCATTGGTTGAGTTGTGCCAAACGCTTTTAGATCTCTCTTTTTATTGCTTTTGTTGACCTGCATCTTATACTTTAATTGAAACTTTCTAGTAATACTTGATCAAACTTCCTCTGAAACATGAGATCATGATCCATGTTAACAAGGATTTGTGAAGATAATAATGCAAGGTCAATGGACTGCTGTTTTGCATGACTCTTCTTATGTGGTTTGTTTAATCACATCCACATGGTTGAACGCATTGAATATAGTAGCATACTGACCTGTTAAAACTATCAGATTGCAGACGGAATGACTTTACAGGTTGGTACTCTCAATCTTCTTCTTGAAACTCGGGGTGGTGCTGGACGTGATGGAGGGGCAGCTTGGTAAGGTCTTTTTAACTGTGTTTTGCATGATAATTAAAATAATTTCTGCACTTTAAATTGAAGCTAATATAGGCATTATTGATAGAAATTCCCCATATTTGCAGTGATGCTTCACTGTTGGTTACCATTGCCGCTATACATAGATGTTCTTGAGAAAATACATGAACTGGCTTCTTTTTTTTTTTTTTTTTCTATTATCTTTAAAAAAAAATTAAAATAGAAGTTGAAAAAATGTTTCTGCCAGCTTATAACATGAATCAAATATAAAATGATTATGAATTAACTATGTGGACATGTAAGATGATATGCTGATGTTAGTGTTTCCCACTTTTGTAAGGGCATCTCCNTATACAAACTTTACCCTTCTCTCTCTCGCACGTGCCACCAACACTAACATCACCATCTCTACACGCGCAACTAAATTCGCACACGTGTCTTCCCGCCCCCTTCTTTCTTTCTCTGTTGTCGGATTCCCACCTGAAATCAATTCTTATACAAAAGGCCACCACCACAAACGCACACTCCGACACACACACTCTCTCAATAATAACTCATTCATTCGTCACATTTCTCATCCTAAACCTAAATTAGGTCTCGGAAGTTAATGTGATCGTCGCGCTCATAGATCCGTCGCGAGTTTCGACGAGAAGATTTGTTACAGAGGTTTCTAGAAGGGGAGAGGCTTTGCAATGGAGTCGATACTGGCACGCGCCTTGGAGTACACCCTCAAGTACTGGCTTAAATCCTTCTCCAGAGATCAGTTCAAGTTGCAAGGCCGTACTGTACAGTTATCAAATTTAGGTATGGTTTTGATTAATTGGCGTTAATTGATGGTTTTGGATGTGTTTCTTTAGCTCAGATGTTTGAATTTGATTGGATAGATATCAATGGAGACGCGTTGCATGCGAGTATGGGATTGCCACCGGCGTTAAATGTGGCCGTCGCCAAAGTCGGAAAACTAGAGATAATTGTGAGTATTTCTGATTTAAAATTTTGTTTTTTCGGTGTCGAATTGCAATTATTAGCGTTTGATTGATTTCTGAGGAAGATAAAGAAAGGAAATGGGAAGGTATAGAAAGGAAATGGGAAGGTATTTTGTTCACTAGGAGTTTCAATTAATTGTTCTTGTTTTTTTTTTTTTTTTTTTTTTTTAAATTTCTTCTAGAAGTCTGAAAAGTAAATACATTATAGGGCCATTAATTGTGTGTTACTAAATAGAGCTAATTAAATATGCTATGTGGGAAGAGAAATGATACTTTCTTGTTGTACACCGATTCATTTTACTGTCAGTATGGTGAGTGGTAAAATAAAGAAAAGTATTGAAGACAGTCGAAGTTTTTGCTTGCTTTGTGTTCAGTTCTTTGCTTAAATTATCTAAGTTGTGGGAGTTTATGTTAATTAGTAGGTTTGCTTTAGTAATTTTTTGATAAGATCTTGGAAACTAAAACATTAACACTGTATAATTTTCCTTGTACTTACGTCTGTTTTGAAAATTTTGTTTTTCCACAATGAAACTGGTTTTACCTTGGGGTTATTGCTGTCTTTTAGTGATTTGTATCTAATTTAGCTCATTTATTTATTTTTGAATAGCTTCCTTCATCGGTAAGTAATGTCCAAATAGAGCCTATTGTTGTGCAAGTTGATAAACTCGATTTGGTTTTGGAGGAGAACCCAGATGCGGATGCAGGTAAGAGTGCCGGCAGGTAATATAACTTTATATTGCTCGAGGTTATCTTGTAAATTTGGTATTAATTTTGTGAAGGGAATAAAATGTTTCTTATATAGTCACTTAACTTGCTGGTTTCTGCTTGTTATATTTGCAGTACCCAGCCATCGACTAGCTCTAGCAAGGGTAGTGGGTACGGATTTGCTGATAAGGTTAGCTGCCATTTTGTGTTTATTTGTAGTGCCTTCTTTAAAGCTGTCATTGGTTGAGTTGTGCCAAACGCTTTTAGATCTCTCTTTTTATTGCTTTTGTTGACCTGCATCTTATACTTTAATTGAAACTTTCTAGTAATACTTGATCAAACTTCCTCTGAAACATGAGATCATGATCCATGTTAACAAGGATTTGTGAAGATAATAATGCAAGGTCAATGGACTGCTGTTTTGCATGACTCTTCTTATGTGGTTTGTTTAATCACATCCACATGGTTGAACGCATTGAATATAGTAGCATACTGACCTGTTAAAACTATCAGATTGCAGACGGAATGACTTTACAGGTTGGTACTCTCAATCTTCTTCTTGAAACTCGGGGTGGTGCTGGACGTGATGGAGGGGCAGCTTGGTAAGGTCTTTTTAACTGTGTTTTGCATGATAATTAAAATAATTTCTGCACTTTAAATTGAAGCTAATATAGGCATTATTGATAGAAATTCCCCATATTTGCAGTGATGCTTCACTGTTGGTTACCATTGCCGCTATATATAGATGTTCTTGAGAAAATACATGAACTGGCTTCTTTTTTTTTTTTTTTTTCTATTATCTTTAAAAAAAAATTAAAATAGAAGTTGAAAAAATGTTTCCGCCAGCTTATAACATGAATCAAATATAAAATGATTATGAATTAACTATGTGGACATGTAAGATGATATGCTGATGTTAGTGTTTCCCACTTTTGTAAGGGCATCTCCTATGGCATCTATCACTATGCGCAATCTTGTGTTGTATACAACAAACGAAAACTGGCAGGTAATTTAGTGGATGTGATTATAATAGGCAAACTTGATTTCTTTCTTAGATACAACTGCTAATTTGAACAATTTCTTGTTACAGGTTGTAAATCTTAAGGAGGCTCGGGATTTCTCCTCTAATAAGTTCATATATGTGTTCAAGGTAATACAAAAACAAAGAGACATAGATTATGAGCGTTTTCATGCCTGTTCAAATGTTTTTCTTTTTATTTTTAATTTGGTGGAGGGAGGAGGAGAGGGTTTTCTGATAACTTGGTTTGATCTAACCCGTTGTATTCTTTTTGTAATTGTTGTTTTTATAATTATCTGCTTAGGTGTTACATGTGTTTTTCTGTATTTGCTTCTCCTTTATGTGAACATGTGTTTTTCCATTATTCCTATATCAAATATACCATGTTGAACATGTTTCACATCAGTGACTGATGATGTTGGGTATTTTTTCTGGTGGGTTTGTGTAACAGAAACTCGAATGGGAATCTTTGTCTGTGGATCTCCTGCCTCATCCTGATATGTTTGCTGATGCTAACATAGCTGGCTCTGAAGAGGGAGCAGATCAGAGAGATGATGATGGTGCTAAGCGAGCTTTCTTTGGTGGGGAGCGCTTCCTTGAAGGAATTTCTGGCCAGGCTTATGTAATGAAATCATGCATTTCATGTTATTTCATAATGAACTTTGTTATATTCCAAACTGATTGGTATTAGAGAGCATTGTCTGACCTGTTAAAGGCTATGTGGTACTGACTTTGTAGTTTTATATCAGATTACAGTGCAGAGGACAGAATTGAATAGTCCACTGGGGCTTGAGGTTCAATTACATGTAACAGAGGCTGTTTGTCCTGCATTAAGTGAACCAGGTAATAAAGGGGCTTGTTTCCATCTCTTTTTCTTTTTCACTGTTGGAATTTTATGTGTTAAACATAGCATGCTCATTTTCTGGGCAGGATTACGTGCTCTTCTCCGCTTCTTGACGGGGTGTTATGTATGTCTAAATAGAGAAGATGTGGATCTAAAGGGTCAGCAGGTGTTAAGTTGCATTCATTATCACTCTTTAGATAAACCAGAACAAAGATGTTATAGAAAATCTAATTAAGTTCTCTCTAACTTTTTCTATATCTCATATTGACTTCTGACAGCGATCTACTGAAGCAGCTGGACGTTCTTTAGTCTCAGTTTTGGTGGACCACATATTTCTCTGCATCAAAGATGCTGGTTTGTTTGTTTTCCTTTTCCCTTATTTGCATGTTTTGTTGGTCAATTATTTTATCCATTACTTGTTATTAGCATTCATGATTGAACTATTAGTTTAACTTTTATAGCTATTTTTCTGTATCTATTTATAGTGGTATAGTCTTATTTTCCTTCAACCACATTGTTGGGATTGAAATACTGAATAATGATTCTGATTTACCTGCAGAATTCCAGCTTGAGCTTTTAATGCAGTCACTCCTCTTTTCTCGGGTATTTCCATTAAACAATTGGTCAATCTGTTGATTATAGCATATTAATTTCCTGATTCAAAACTTTTTGCTAAGAATGTATCACATTTCGATGAATATAAGTTTGATCGATGGTAATTGACATTGAGTCTGTCTTCTAATGTTTCATGTGGTTTCTTTGGTTAGTGCTCTGAATTTAACTTGTCTGCAGTAGAGAAATTGAGCAAATTATATAACGTTTTATGAAATTTAAGCATATGTAAAGCTAACTCAGCACTAGATCATTTTTAACCATTAGGATTTGCATTTCTTTTAACCATTAGGATTTGCATTTCAAATCAGATAGATAAATCTCTTGTTTGACATGATTGTATGAAGATCTCTTTTTTGGATGGCTTAATTCTCTTTAGTTAGTTTGATTCTAAATAAAAAAGTTCTGTTACATGGACAAACCTCTGACCTTGTGAAGAATAGTTTGAGAAATAAAGGTAAGCTATCCTGAAGTCTGGATTTATTTGTCTTCGTAGCTCTCAGGTTCTCTTGAAAATCTCAAGCATATTATGCTCTCTACTTATATGGATTGTCAGCATTATTGGTGCAGTGCCATGTTTTTTCTTGGCTGTTCAAAATCTTATGCTAGGATATATTTTCCTTTCAGGCAAGTGTTTCTAATGGAGAAACTGCCAGTAACTTGACTAAGGTTTCCATTGGTGGATTTTTTTTAAGGTAAACTCTGTGTCTGACTTGTCAGCAGATTTGTGATGATGAATAATTTTATGGATGTTCTCTTGCAGTTTGTTCCCATTCTGAGTATGTTCTGTCACATTTTGCTTTTCATTTCATTATTTTGTGTTGTTTTAAAGTTTTAGCATTTTTTCATATGGCAACACGCTTTGAATGGTTGAGATTCCATTCAACTTTCATTAATCTTTTAAATGAAACAAGATAGATCTAATTTCAAATCCAAGGGCTCAAAATTTTTGTTATAACTTGTGTAAAATATATGGGACTGCTGAATAATGCAGGGATACTTTTTCACGTCCTCCGTGCACTTTGGTCCAACCATCTATGGAGGCAGTCACTGAAGATTTTCTGGACATTCCTGACTTTGGTAACGATTCAAATCTTGTGTATGATGGAGAAAAGTTGTGGATTATGCTTTTAATATGTGTATTCTAATATTGATTCTTTCTTATTTGATTGTTTGAACAGCTAAGAATTTTTCCCCTGTAATATATCCTCTGGGCGATCAGGAGTGGCAGTTAAGTAATGGTGTTCCTTTGATATGCCTTAATTCTCTTCAGGTCAAACCCTCCCCAGTCCCACCTTCTTTTGCTTCTCAGACGGTCATCAGCTGCCAGCCACTTATGGTATGCTAGAAGAAATTCATTAAAAGGATTGAGCTCTTTCCTTTTGTTTGTAGCAGCAATGTCATTTCTGACTGTTATCTTCTATTATTTTCCCAGATTCATCTTCAGGAAGAATCCTGTTTGAGGATATCTTCCTTTTTAGCTGATGGAATTGTTGTCAACCCTGGTGCTGTTTTACTGGATTCTTCAGTTAATTCCCTTGTATTCCTTCTTAAGGAATTAGATGTTACTGTTCCTTTGGACATGAATAAATTGGATAGTCCTGCGAGTGAAGGAAACCTTACTGCACAGAGCTCCTTTTCTGGAGCTAGGCTTCATATTGAAAAGTTGTTCTTTTCAGAGTCACCTAAATTAAAACTTGGGCTGCTGAATCTGGAGAAGGATCCTGCTTGTTTCTGTCTGTGGGAGGGTCAGCCAATTGATGCTAGCCTGAAGAAATCAACTGTTGGAGCATCACATCTTAGTTTGTCTCTGGAAACATGTAATAACATAACTGGATTTCATAATTCTTCTGGTGAGAATTCAGGGTTGTGGAAGTGTGTTGAGCTGAAAGATGCTTCTGTTGAGGTAGCTATGGCATCTGCTGATGGTAAGCCATTAACTATCATTCCTCCTCCAGGTGGTATTGTCAGAATAGGTGTTGCTTGTCAGCAATATTTATCAAACACGTCGGTAGAGCAGTTGTTTTTTGTCCTGGATCTCTATGCATATTTTGGCAGAGTGAGTGAAAAAATTGCTCAAGTTGGAAAACGTAAAAGGTCAAAGAGAAATACTAATGAATCTTTGGGGGTAAAGTTGATGGAGAATGCTCCCAGTGATACTGCTGTAAGTTTAGCAGTGAAGGACCTTCAACTAAGATTTCTTGAGTCTTCTTCCATGAATATAGAGGGAATGCCTTTGGTTCAGTTTATTGTGGAAGATATGTTCACCAAAGTTACTCATAGAACTCTTGGTGGTGCAATTGCTGTTTCATCCACTTTACATTGGGAGACCGTTGAGGTGGATTGTGTTGACACTGAAGGAAACTTGGCACATGAAAATGGTACAATGTTACCTTCTGTTGATGACAGTCCTCGGGTCAATGGAAACGGACACCCACAGCTAAGAACTGTATTCTGGGTAGATAACAAAAGAAAGCATCAATTGAATGGCAATGCATTTGCGGTTCCTTTTCTGGATTTGAGCGTGGTACATGTCATTCCTCTTAGTGAAAGGGATAGAGAATGTCATAGTTTAAGTGTATCAGCTTGTATTTCAGGTGTTCGCCTTGGCGGAGGTATGAACTATGCAGAAGCCCTGCTCCATCGATTTGGAATACTTGGGCCTGATGGTGGTCCGGGAGAGGGGCTGTCTAAAGGATTAAAGCATTTATCAGCAGGGCCATTGTCAAAACTTTTCAAAGCATCACCTCTCACTGTTGAAAATCTAGGAGAGGGTATGGAACCAATTACTATCTTAAATTTTATTTGGTTGCTGCTTATGTAAATGCTGCAGTACCATTCTTATGCCTATTTCCCCTACTCTTTTAACTGCAGCGGTCTTAAATTTAGTTCTTTTTTCCAGGTGGAAGTTCAGGAGATGGGAGAGATGGTCTTCTGCATTTGGGATTGCCAGATGATGTGGATGTATCTGTGGAATTTAGAGACTGGTTATTTGCTCTTGAAGGTGCACAGGAGATGGCTGAAAGGTGGTGGTTTTACAGTCAAGAAGATATGAGCAGAGAAGAGAGGTGTTGGCACACAACCTTTCAGAGTTTGAGTGTGAAAGCAAAAAGTAGTCCAAAGGAAATTCTGATTGGTAAAGGAGATTCACAGAGAACCCATAAATATCCTGTGGAATTGGTTATAGTAAGTATTTTAATTTTCTTTTCTTCTTTATTGTCCTGTTGGCTTCAATTACATTTCTATTTTCAGAAGGTGATAAAAGCATAATTAATAACATATATATGCAAAAACGTTAAATTTCAGGTAAAGACTAGTCTATATAAATGAAATAGCATTATTCAATCTCTCTGTGCATTTTTGTTGACCATCTTAGAATCTAGTTGATATTGCAATATTTGGTACAATACTATATTAATAACCTGTTTTGAAGTAGTGAGGTTATTGTGGGTAGTCCTGATGGCTAATCCATAGGAAAGATTTAATAGTTGAGATGCAACTTAATTTTCGAACTTGAGGTGCACTTAATTTGGTTCAAACTTCTCTCTCTCCCTTTCTTTTCTTTATATTTTTTTGCTAGACTTGTACTGTTATGGTCCTAGCTTAGAAAGATGTGGTGGCTCGGGGTTGAAAAAAAGGAGCAAACTGGATTAATTTCGGATGGTCTGCTTCTTTTTTTTTTTTCTTTTTTTTTTTTTTTTTTTTTAATATGAAAAGTGTGAACATGATTGTCAGTCATGTATCTGGAATCAGAAATTTTGGTCAGATTTGGTTGGACTGTGGGCCTGGCAATCTTTATTGTTTCGTGAAACTTTAGACTTGATTTGGTTTAGTGTTGTTAGGTGCTTCCATCTTCCTACATCTTTAATTTATTTTAACTTGATACATACATTCATATGTTTCTTTGTTGCTTCTAATGGATTCTTTTACGTGATAATACTTGTAGGTTAGTGTGGAAGGTTTGCAGACTTTGAAGCCTCAGGTCCAAAAGGATTTACCCCAAGCTGTCTTTCCTGTGAATGGGTTCAAAGAAAGTGCTGAGAGATTTGGAGGTGTAAATGTTGAAGTTCGTTTAGTGATATTGGAGGACAATGCTGAGAATGAGATGGTCAGCTGGATGGTGGAGAACTTGAAATTTTCTGTTAAGGAACCGGTAGTGTGATCTGAACTTTTCAGGTGTTTGATCACTGCAACTATCTTATTTGGAACATTCTGTATGATGGTGATTTTTATGCTGTAGATTGAAGCCATTGTGACCAAGGATGAGGTTCAACACCTTGCTTTTTTGTGCAAGTCCGAAGTTGACTCGTTGGGTCGGATCACTGCTGGAGTCCTGCGGCTACTCAAGCTGGAAAAGTCAATTGGCCAGGCTGCCATAAATCAACTTAGCAATCTTGGTATGCTTAATTCCCCAGGAATTTTTTTTTTTTTCAATCTGTTCAGAAATAACATTTTGTCAACCTTCATGTTTGTAGATGAGAATAATTGTTTTTCTGGGTTTGGAAGTACAAGGACTCAAAAAGTTTTGCCAAAAGCAGAGTGCAAATTTATTTGAGGTTGAGGTTGTTGGGATTGGGGTTTTGGATCTTAATTTGTTTAGGGCCGTGTAGGACTTCATTTGANCTGTATGATGGTGATTTTTATGCTGTAGATTGAAGCCATTGTGACCAAGGATGAGGTTCAACACCTTGCTTTTTTGTGCAAGTCCGAAGTTGACTCGTTGGGTCGGATCACTGCTGGAGTCCTGCGGCTACTCAAGCTGGAAAAGTCAATTGGCCAGGCTGCCATAAATCAACTTAGCAATCTTGGTATGCTTAATTCCCCAGGAATTTTTTTTTTTTTCAATCTGTTCAGAAATAACATTTTGTCAACCTTCATGTTTGTAGATGAGAATAATTGTTTTTCTGGGTTTGGAAGTACAAGGACTCAAAAAGTTTTGCCAAAAGCAGAGTGCAAATTTATTTGAGGTTGAGGTTGTTGGGATTGGGGTTTTGGATCTTAATTTGTTTAGGGCCGTGTAGGACTTCATTTGAATTGTTTTGGAGCATATAATTGTTAGTAGCAAGTAAAAGAACTTTGAATTGACAAGAATAGAAGTAGCGAGAATAAATAATTTAAATCTGGTTGATCTGGGGTGTTCAGAATTGAACTAGAATTAGCATGTTTTCTCACTGGGTGAAAATCAATGCTACTGCTGGACACTTAAAATTTTTATTTATATTTCAGAATCATTTTTCTTTTTCTTTGTACTCTGCTTTCCGTTAGTCATAAAATTTTTCTCATAATGTTTTCCTCAATTTACATTTTGGGCTGCTTGGATTTTACTCTTGACTCTAGCTGTTTGCACTTGTTGAGAATAGTAATATAGATCTATTATTTGCAGGGAGTGAGGGATTAGAAAAAATTTTCTCCCCAAAACACAGCAGGGGTAACAGTGGTCGTAGTACTCCATCAGCATTTTTTATTAATGAAAGCCCTGTTGCAACACTGGAATCAACTGTAACTTCACTTGAGAAGGCAGTTTTGGATTCCCAGGTCAAGTGTGCTGCTCTCATCACCGACTTAGATAATTCAGAATCTTCCATTGATCATCTTTGCAATATTAAGCAACTCAGCGAGAAACTGGAAAGTATGCAGAGTTTGTTGACGAAATTGCGGACTCAGATGTGATTGCTCTTCTCCTGCTAGAGAAAAGAAAAGCCTTGTTTTGCCATTCCTTGAATGATGGAAGTATCCAAAGTTTGTTGATGACACGATTGCAGACTCAGATTTGATTGGTCTTCTCCCGCTAAAGAAAAGAAGTCTTTCCTGCCATTATTTGATGTACAATTTTGGGATGAAAAGGATCCCAATCACATAGTTCACCAATTCTTTTCTGTATATAGTATATAGGTAGAAGTTCCTGAAAGCTGTTTATAGGACCAATTTTGTATCCTGAATATGACAATTTTTTTGCTTCTATATTATATACTTAAAATATTTTTGCACTCTACCTTGCTGAAGAATCAGGAGATGGATTCATGGTTAGTCTTGTTTGGGAATGCGATACACGTCATCAATTGTTGGTATGAAACTAAGAGAGATTAAACAACACTACTGTGTATTCTGGTTTGCTTTTTATAAAGACAGTTACTGCTCAACTTCTGCATAAGAAAAAGAACAGTAAAATTTTCTGCAAAAGAGTGACACCTGACACATAATTCTTATTCTCAGTTAGAACTTATTGATTTTCTTTACTTGGCATGATCTATTTTAGGTGATTCATTAAATTGTAATAGTATCATAAATCTCTGGCATTCTGAGCAGCGGTCCTTGGAAGCCAAACAAATATAAGATATAGTGGTTTATTTTGAAGGAATAAATCTCCAATGTCAAGATAAATACATTACAGAAAGCGAACAGAATGGCACAAGAAAAATTAATCAATCAATTATTTGCGATTGGGAAGGTGACATGCTTTGATAGCTCACTTTTCTACGACTTGCTAATCTTTCTGATGTTTTCCCCAGGGTGCTGGAATAGAAAGGCTGTCTAACTTTAATCGACCCCTTTTATCAACTGATTAGCAAAAGGGGTCGAAATGGAGGACTTTCGGCACAAATATTTGATGAGAAATGGGACACTAGAGCCCATGACGATCAAAACAATGGCCACCCATCGGCTCTCTGAATCTATAACTGAGAACAATCCGGTCACGAATGCAACCAATGTTCCTCCAAGCGCGATATACAGCAAGTTCTTGCCGTAAATTATAGCTGAGTGCAAGAAGGCAGGGTCACCAACCATAGCCAGAACTAAGAGAATTACCACCGTCATGGAGCAGCACATTGCTAGTGAATCTGCCACCAGGAACACCTTAAGTGATGCCTTCTTTATGAGGACGGACTCACCAGTGTAATCTTTTTGGTCATCGTTGTTCTTTCCTTGACTGCCATTATCAGAATAGTAGTCACCTGGTAAAGTGAACGCTGCAGCGAAAGTTAAGAGTAACCAGAAGAGCAGCAACCATTGACAAGGTATTGGCTAGATGCTTTAAGTCTGAGCCAGGGTGATTGAATACACTCTTCCTCTTTGGAGAAAGCTTCCAATTATAGGGATGTCTACCTCGAGGTGCATGCTGGCCATTTAAGTAACTATAAAGTGATTTCTGCAATAATAACAAGAATGTCAGGCAGATTGGTACTTATTAATTCAACTGATTGATCTCAGATGGCGATTGAAAATTAATTACCTGTCTGTAAGAAAGTTACTAATCGAACTCGCGGATGTCTAAGACTGTGAGGCCCCTCTTGTTCTTCGCTCTCAAGTCTACACATCTAGTTTCCATCAATCTTCTAACCATCTTGTAATTCTTGTTCTCGATGGCTAGATGCAATGGTGTGTTGCCTTCCTTGTCAGGTTCATTCACAAGCTCCTTCATCTCAGGCAAGCCCAAGAAGTCCCTGGCATTTTGCAGTGTTGTTTAACACAGCAAGATGAAGTGCATTCCATCCAGCCGGGTCACATAGCTCGATTGTGTCGGGTCAGTGCTGGAGTATCTCTTGGAAGACATCAAAATTTCCTGAGCTGGCAGCTTCAAGTAATGGGGTCCAACCCTTTGTGTCTTTTATATATGCAGATAAGGTGCTCTCGTTCAGCAGCTGCCGTATAAGTTTTGTTTCTCTGGCTGCTGTTGCAAAGTGAAGGGCTGTCATTCTATTCATGTCAGGTTGGTTGATGAGTTCCAGAGTCTCCTCTAGACCAAGAAGATGACCGATGCATTCTGTATCATCAAACAGATATAAAAAGTATGAGTCAAATGCCTATTTCCTGATAAATTTACTAGGCTTTCTATTTTTTCTATCTTGGTTGTGATCATTTGCTCATAGGTTTTCATTCACAATCAAACCATAATTGTGATTACTTAGTTGAATGAAAAAGTATGAGTTAACATATATAAAGTAATATTATTAAAAAGAAGAATGAATGGCATTTTACGTTTCCCTTGGATACATAGATTTTTTACATGGAAAGCTTTTCTGGAGAGAGTGAGCATACCGCTGCTTCCTGAAAGGATGGCGGCATGCAAGGGATTTTGCCCATCAGGGCCTCGGACAGCTTCACGTAAGAGGGTAGGATTATATGACACTTGTGTTAAGAATTTCAAGATCTTCAGCAACACTTCCTTGCATCTTGATTCAGCAGCTAAGTATAGAGGGCTCCCCCCTGCAGAATTAACAAGTCCAGCCATTTCATTGTCCAGTTCCCACAAACACACTGCCACTTCCTCGTGTCCATTCCTCAAAAGCCTCATGCAAAGCTGTGCTTTGAACCATATTCCTCGTCCTCCAAAGCTTGGGAGCTCCAGTCTCTCCCACTTCCATTTCTCTCAAAACTGTAGTTCCTGGAGTTTCAATCGAATCAACTCTGAATAAACTACTTTTAGTACTAAGTAGAAGTTTCACCACACCAGCGTGGCCAGCCCTGGCTGCAACATGGAGTGGAGTGTCACCGTTTGAGTTTTTATGGCTTGCGAGGAATGGAGATGCTTGGAGAGCCTCACGAACAAAAGTTTCATGTCCCAGCTTTGCAGCTATGTGAACTATATTGTTCTCCCGATGTGTCGGCAAGAGGAGATTATTGTCACTACCTTGGATGAACTGCTTCAAAAACTCAACGTTTCCCTCTCTTGCTGCCTTGTACATCAAGCAATCAAAGCTTATTCAATGGCTCTAAATTGGGTATACGATTAGCAGGTTGTCTTTGCTCTTTCACTAACTGAAACAGGGAATGAAATCAAGACAGGAGAAAGAAAATGATGAAGTCAAATGGAGGCGCTTGTAGGAGGTTTTTGCAACAAGAACAAAGTCATCTCTGCAAGTTTCAAAGTTGAAAATTTCACTGGTGCGATGCAAGTAACGCATAGAAAGATTTTGACAGCCGTGAAAATTTGAGATTAATTAGGAGAAATCATCTGGGTATCATTTCCATAGGATCCTGACTGTTATTTGACCTGTCTTCTTATATATATTTTTTACTGGTGTAATGTTATGTTATTAGATTAGAATTGATTCAACCACTTTCAATTAAATTGGGGAGGCTTCTGGTTCATTAAACAGCACTATATTTGTCTTTTCAACTTGATCAACATCTAAAATTTAACAAGGCGTCATAACAATACCACTTATCAAAACAAGATCCTAGAAGAAAAATGAGAGAAGGGTTTATGATTACACGCAAACATGACATTAAAACTTGAAAAAGAATGATCTTTGAGTTATATCAAGTAAGATTAACTAATACCCCAGCGCGGCGATCTGCCTTGATGTATACAGTAGTAATATTTGAATTCCTTTTCCAGGGCTGTGGAGATAATGGTTTCTTCATTGTTCCCTTGAGATATTTTATAACAAGTGGGGTTGAAGTAGAAGACTTCTGGCCCAAAAATTTGATGAGAAATGGAACACTGGAGCCCATGATGAGCAACGATGGCTAACCATTTACTCTTTGGTGATATAACAGTGTACAATCCACTTACAAAGGCAACAACGTTCCAAAAAGCGCGATATTCAGCAAGTTTTGCTGTAAATAATTGCTGACCGCAAAAGGCAGGGTCGCCAGCCATTGCTAGAACAACAGAAACACCACTGTCATGGAGCTGCACATTGCAAGTGAATCCGCCAACAGGAATACCTTAGTGATGGGGTCATTATGAGGATTGAGGTACCTAAAAAGTTTTACTTGATTGTTTTATTCCAGGAGGTCTGTCATATCATCAGCATGGTAGCCTCCTGGTAATGTAAAGGCTGCAGCGAATGTTAAAGTAGCCAGAAGTGCAGCAACACTGAATTGTGTTGGCTATATTCTTTAAGTCTGCGTTCGGGTGGTTTAATGCGTTCTTTGATTTTTGATCTCGCTTCCAATAATTATAGGGCTGCCTACCCCGCGGCGCATTTGCCTCTCAGGTATGTATGTAGAGAATTCTGCAAAATATCAACAATAAAGAGAGAGAATTAGCCATCCTATTTCAGCCATCCAGAGGTGAAATGGAAAATTTAACTCTATCAAAATGTGAATCGTTGAATAAATTTAATATGAAACATGTTGTACAACTAAGTGGTATCTAATAAGATTACCTGTCTGTAAGAAAGATTCCAATCAGACTCGCAGATGCTAGAGCTGTGAGGCTTTGTTTCTTGGTTCTCAAGTCTACACATTCAGTTGCCATCATTTTTCACCATCTTGTAGTTCTCGTTCTTGATAGCAAATGCAACGGTGTGTCGCCTTCCACGTCAGGTTCATTCACAAGCTCCTTCATCTCTTGCAAGTGCAAGAATTCCTGACATTGTGCGTGGTGTGTTTTAACACAGCAAGATGAAGGCGTTCTGGCCAGTGGGGTCACAGAGTTCCATTGTGTCTGGACAGTATAGGAGTATCTCTTGAGGACATCAAAGTTTCCAGAGCTGGCAGCTCCAGTAATGGCGTCCTTCCATTGTTGTCTCGCAGATATGCAGATGAGGTACTTTCTTTAAGCAACTCACGTATAATATTTGTTGTCTGGCTGCTGTTGCAAGTGAGGGCAGTCTTTCCACTTATGTCAGGTGATTAATGAGTTTCAAGACATGTTCATCTTCTAGCAAGAAACCAATGCAATCTATAGCATGCAATAGAGAGAGAACATATACAAGTCAGATTGCTCAAATTGGATTAAATTGTGCTAGTCTTTTGGGTTTTTTAAGGCTATATAAATATCCTTCACACTTCACAAATTGGAATAACTTATTTGTTGACCAGTGTTTATCTTAGATGAACGGAATGTTGGTTTTTGAGCATGAATATAGTCTTACGGGAGAGAAAAGGATGAAAAACAATAAAGAAAAGAGCTGAAATATTGCATTCTGTTTTTCTGAAAAAGTACAGCAGACATATATACATGACAGACACTATTGCACCTAACCATAAAACATTTTGTCCAAATGGCATCCTAACCACACAAACTTAGCAATCTGATTACATCACATTAATTTGATACAAAGTTGACAACCTAAATACATGCGAACTCACCAAAAACTTCACTTAGCATGCCTACAGAACAGCAGTGAACTGCTCCAGACCAGATTTTCAAACTTCAGCCTTTTCTTTTGCGCCAGATCAGCTCCAGTTTAATCCAAAATAATGTTTCAAGCAAAATATCACTTCTTTGAACACTCTCCTTGATATTTTTGCTTGAGACACCAAGTTAAGCTTCATGTCTTCAAACTTGGACCTAACATGGGACTTAGTAAATATGTAGCCAATTGCATTTCCCCTCTGCAGTGTGTCATCTGATTTCTCCGGATTGCTCAGCCTCCCTCACTGCATGAAACTGATTTTTATGTGCTTAGTTCGACCATGCAGACTGGATTTTTAGCCATAGCAACAGCCGATTGATTATCACAGAAAATTTCAGTAGGCTCAACCTGTTTTACCTCATATCAGCTAGCAAATTTCTTAACCAATAGCTTGATTTACTGCAGCTGCAGTGAATATATTCAGCTCTGCAGTGGATTGTGCCACTACTTCTTGCTTCTTGGAAGACCAACAAAATGCACCATAATTCAGCAGGAATACATACCCTGATGTGCTTGCATACATCATAGGAGCCTCCCCAATCACTGTCTGCATACCCTATCAGTCTGAAATTTTCTGATTCCCTGAACCAGATTCCATGATCTGCAGTTCCTCTAATGAATCTCAGCACCCTCTTGGCTGCTCTAAGATGCTCTCACTTGGTTTGCTCATGATCTTGATAGAACTAATTGAAAACATCAGCTCAGGCCTTGTTGCTGTCAAGTACAATAAGCTCCCAATCATTCTCCATAATCTGTCTCATCTACCGGGGCTGCTCCATCATCTTTGCATAGCCTTTGATTTTGCACCAAAGGTGTGGCAACTGACTTGCATTCACCATTCCAAATTTCTTAATCATCTCATTGCATATCTCCTTTGACAAATGAAAATGCCCTCTTGAGATTGAGGATTTCCATTCCAAGGAAGTAAGTCTCTTCCAAACAGTCATCTCAAACTCTTTGTGCATTGCTTTCTTGAACTCTTCACCTGAATTTCATTGTTTCCAGTCACCAACAAATCATCCCATACAAGGAAACCATAATCACATCTCATTGTTCCTTTTTACATATAAAGTATGCTCATTGGGGCTTCTTGCATAACCAAGATGACTAGGTAATCATTGATTCTGCTGTACCAAGCTCTTGGAGCTTGTTTCAGGCCATACAAGGCCTTTCTCAGTAAGTACAACTGGTCTTCTTTCCCCTTGACTTCATATCCATCAGGTTGTTCAACAAAAATCTCTCATCCAGCCAACCATTCAAGAAGCTGACTTAACATCCATTTGATACACTTTCCACTTGAATTGGGCTGCCAAAGCTAGAACCAATCTAATTGATCATGTCTTGCAACCGGGGCAAATGTATCTTGGAAATCCACACCATGTTGCTGTGCAAACCCTTTCACAACTAACCTGGCTTTGTGCTTCAAAACTGAACCATCAGGATCAGTTTTTTCTTGAAGATCCACTTTACTTGGATCATTTCCTCCCGGTAGGCTTTCCACAAGTTCCCATGTTCCATTCTTCATCATGGACAACTCCTCCTGCATAGCAAGTCTCCATTCCTTAGACTTAGTTGCCTATGGTAAGATGTGGTCAAGCAATGCAACATTGCATCTGCCATAAATCTCAGCAAGAGCGCTAGTTCCCCTGACTGAAATTTCTTCTTCTGTTTCAGAATCTGCCCCATCTTGTTTTCAGCAGTTGTTCTCTTGCTGTGGCTGTGGATCTACCTGAATTTTCTTCTCTTCCCAATTCCACACTGACCTTTCTTGACTCTGGAATGAAGATCCGTAAGCCTTGATTGGAGGCTGTAACCTACCAGAATTCCAACCGTTGCTTTGTCATCCAGTTTTGACCTTTTGATGGCTGGTATGAGTACAAAGCATATACTCCCAAATACTCTTAGATGATCCACTTGTGGCTTAAATCCATACCATGCTTCAAATGGAGTTTGATCCTTTAAAGCTTTGGTTGGTAGCCTATTCAGCAAACACCCAGTATTGACTGATTCAGCCCATAATTCCTTTGGCATTCCTTTAGTCAGCAAACACCTGGACATCTCCATTATGTCCTATTCTTTCTCTCACTATCCATTTGTTGGGGAGTGTAGGGACAACTAAACTGATGCCATATTCCAGCCT